TGATGGACAACATTTTGTAATAATATAAAAAATATCTGTATGACATTATATTCTGCAGTTCTTCCCTGTTGTACCAAATATCTATACTTTTCAATTTATCATATCGAAGTTAGAAATTCAAATATTGTGACAATTAATTTTGTAGGGTGCCACAAGTTTGTTAAAATTTCCAAAGGGTGCCGCGACTAAAAAAAGGTTGGGAAACACTGGTTTAGACTTCCCTTTTCTCTTGCTCCTCATAGAGAGATGTTGGAGAGAGTTCTGGTCAAACGACTGAGGGACTCAGACTCCGAAGACGAGACAGAAGATGTGAAAGACAGAGGCAACAAACACACGGCTGATAAACCCACAGACATCCTCACCACAGACGTGAACACGGGATCACAGGTGAAGAGAAACACAGCAGCCTCCACTTTATTAGATTCAAATTTAGTTTGTTTGATTTGACATTGACATATTTTGACATTTTATTTTAGTTACTTTTATATATTATGATTTGGAAAAAGTCTTAGGTGTTGCTTTTGAATTTTTTTATACATATCTCTGGATACTCTACTGTGATTGGTCAGTTGCAACATGCTGCAGTCGAGTGTTATTGTCATACATAGTTGTGCTAGTTTAATGATTCTCATATCACTCCACACTCGTTCTTCTCACATAATCATTTCAGCTCGTCAATATTTCAGATCCATTTGTTTATTTATTTATCGTATTAAGTATTGACTGTACATTATACTTTATATGATCTGTGGTACAAAATTCAGTTGTTCTTTCAGCTTACATGTGTTTTTCTGTTTTAATGCCTCATCTTTTTCTCTCATTAATTTTTGCGCTGTTTTCTTGCTGGTCTCCACAGGGCTCATCGTCTGTGGGCGTAAAGAAACAGAAGGTGGAGAGCTGGGAGAGGAGTGTCGGAGGTCTGGGTGAAAAGGGAGCTCTGGGGTCTCTGGTGGTGAGGAAGAAACCAGCCGATTCTGCCGGTGCACCACGACAGGCTGCTAACACACAAACAGGTTCATGATCTATTAAAACTACTGAATCAGTGAGTTCTCAAAAGTGTTGGGGACAGTCAGGCTGTAATGAGTGTGCAGGGGTGTATTACAATTATTAAAAACAATAGCTAATTCATTCATTCAGTCATTTAAAGTGCCCCTATTATGCTTTTTGAAAGGTTCATCATTTGGTTTTGGGAGTCCCCAACAACAGGTTTACATGCATGCAAGGTCAAAAAACACTTTCATTTTCTTATAATATGCATTTAATTTTATGTTATTTCTAAGTGACTCTCAAACAATTAGTTTAAAGAGTAATCTTTCCAACCCCCTCCTTTGCATGAAGCTACTCTGCTCTGATTGGTCCGATGGCCCAGTCTGTTGTGATTGGTCTACTGCTTACAGCGCATGTTGGAAACAGAACGCCCATCACCAGTACTGGAATACGACTTATCAATAATGCATCCTATTTTAATAATGATAGTGCTCCACTCTGTTCTAAAAATAAAGAATCTGAGGGGGAAAAGTTGTTTTACACTTCTGTTAGTGAACTGGTCCCACAGCTTGGTAGTAAAGACCCAAACAATGGTATATGCGTTAGCCGAACACAGACATAGAGTACTGATAAAGCACTGCAGTTTGTAAACCAACGTATTGCTCCATCCTTTATCATGACTCCAAGTAATAAGAATGACACGCATTCTATATTAATCTGAATTTATTATTCAGAGGCCACAAATAAAGTGCACACTTTTTTTTGCACTTTATTTGTGGCCCTTGGACAATAAATTAATGTGTGCTTTTTTGGCCCATTTTTCGTGTGCGGATCTTTGTTTTTTGGTCTTAAATACATTTTAAAATGTAATTTATTCCTGTGATCAAAGCTGTATTTTCAGCATCATTACTCCAGTCTTCAATGTCACATGATCCTTCAGAAATCATTCTAATATGCTGATTTGCTGCTCAAGAAACATTTCTGATTAGTATCAATGTTGAAAAGAGTTGTGCTGCTTAATATTTTTGTGGAAACTGATTTTTTTCCCCAGGATTCTTTGATGAGTTGAAAGTTCAAAAGATCAGCATTTATTTGAAATAGATTTTTAAGTCTATTTTTTTAAAGTCTATAAAAGTATTTTAAAAAGAATACAACCTTAGGTCTGTTTTCAAAAGCGTTCATGTTTTATAACAATTTAAGTTTGGATGGTGCACTTTCACGTCTATGTTCAAAAATGGGGGGTGACAGTTAAAGATTGTTTTATTAAAATATCCAAAAACCACTAGAACAGTGTTATATATTTTGCTGACTTGTGTACTTACATTATCCCAAACTTTTCGTAGAATGTTTAAATCCAGAGAAATAAGCAATTTTAACTAGTGACACGGAGCGTGTCCATAGTGTCATTGTGTCGCCTGCCAATGACGTCATAACCCCTCGATTTCCGGTTTTGTTTTGTAGAAAACATGGAAACACCAAAGACGCTTTAATATGTTGTGCGTTTTAATAGACTGGTGACGACCGCACAGAGTAGCATTATAACAGAACTTTCAAATGTATCTAGTATGATAAAACAGCGCTGCTTTACCCCACATACGCACGACCGGAAGGAGCGGAAGCGGTCGACTGTGGCATAATAAAAGCTCCGCTGCTTTCGAGCCGTGCGTCGCGCTCATCTCTCATTAGCAATTGCTTCAGCGGCCTCGTTTCGCTTCGACGCTTTCAGCCTCACCCTGCTTCATACTACGACGTTAATAAATCTTTAATACATTAGCTCATCCATGGCCATGATTTCTGCCCGAGTCCTGTCGAATTGCATCGGCTGTGGGGGATGAAGACGACAACTCCCATGATTCCACACTCAGTCACGGCGTCATCAAACTACTCCTTTGTTTCTTTGTTTGTTTTGAAAACGCGCCCTCTAATGGCAAAAACTTGCATATTGTGCTTTTAAGAGGTTAAAAAAAATCTTACCGACCCCAGATGTTTAAATGTATATACATTTTTAATAATAAAAAAATATGTATAATGTATTTAATAAACTAAAATTGCAAGTGAATTATTATTTTATTAACTGTTTTATTAATAATTACTTTTAATATAACTAATAGTTAGGTATTTGTTATTATTTAATAAACTAAAATTGATTTTATTATTAACTTGTTTTATTGTTTTATTAATATACATTTTATTAATATAATTAATAAATATATATTTATTATTTAATGTCAAAAATGCAACTGAATTATTATTTTATTAACTTGTTTAATATTATTGTTTTATTTCATAGTTAATGAATAGATATGTATTATTTTATTACAAAATTGCAGTGAATGTTAGTATTAATATTTCTTTAGAATCAAGGAATGGTACAGATGTGGAGTGCGCAACCCATTTTTTATAAAGTGGTGAGGCCAATAAAAATGAAGGGACTTGATGCCTGTGATAAAACCCACTACAGTTTCCACCATGAGCCCTGATGTTGTGTTTATGTACCAGACATAGTTTAGGGTTTTGCGGTCTCTGTTAACCTGTGTTTTCTCTGTCTTTCCGGATCATTCAGGCGCAGGTGCTGCCAAACCTGAGTCCTCCACAGCTTCCAGTGGACAGCCAGTCACATCTCCGAACGGTTCTTCTCTCAGCCTCTTGGGGGTGTATACAGACAGCGATGACAGCAACTCTGACTAGGCTGGAAAAAAATTTGGCAGACTGAAATTAAATGTTTATTTTCAGACCGACAAAAATGACCAGCTTTCTTTTCACAGACCACTTTATGTTTCCTTAACCTGGACTCTTTAAAATTGTAATTCGAGAGATTTTTATTTTTCAGTGATTAACTTTTTAGCTGGAGGAGCATTGTTTATGAGAAGTTGTTTCCATTGCCTGGATTTCATTCGGTTCTTTTTATTAGATCTGCATCATCCCGATGTCTCTAATGTACTCTATAATGTGCTTCTTGTGTATTATGTACTCTATTAGGTAGAATTTGTTTCTCCATGTTCGCTCAATCAATACGAGGAAATGCATTTGAGGGTTTCAGTGGAGATAAGTGAATCTGAATCTAATTTCGGCTGATCATCTCTAATCCCATATCATCCCATTTCATCGTTCCAAACATCAGACGAATAAAATGTTCCTTGTGTTTTGTTTCCGAGCACAGACTATTTTTTTCAGTTGTGTTGGTTTTAGCAAATATTTAGAAATACATTTCAGATATATTATTATTTATCTATATTGTGAGCTTCCCAAAAAGCGTTTTATAACACTGCCGAGTTAAGGCTGCTTTGTGCCCGCTCAAAATTCAGTGTATGCACAACGCAGCACAAAAGCCAGACTGAATCATGTTGACTCACACCCACCTCAGCCCCTAGCCTCAAAGAATACAGCTGTAATTGCATCACATTGTTTTGCATGTATGCCATTTTTGAGCAGCATTTATTGCTATGGAAAACCATTTCTGCCATGGAAGAAAAAAAGGAATTTGCAACTTTTTATGTGAGCTTACGTTTTGCAATCAAGAGCTTCTATCTCACAATTCCGAGGAAAAAGCCCTAAAGTAGTCAATAAAAAATGGTAATTGCGACTTCTCACAATTTTGACTTTGTGCATATCTGAGTTTAAATCTTGCAATTCTAATAAAGAAGTCAGAATTGGGAGGGGGGGAAAGTCGCAATTTTATTGTTTATTCCGTGGCAGAAACGGGCTTCCATATTAAACGTTTTGTGTAGATACACCTAAATGCCACATGTGAAGCGCTTGCGAACCTCTGCAGTGTACATTTGGCAAAAGTTACTTAATTTGACATCCGCTAATGGCATCAGTGGCTTGTTTTGGTGTTCAAGGTAACACTTGCTAATGTGATGTTAATGCAGTCCAATGTGTGGATAGCCATTATTCACCATCTCCCATATTGATCCAACAAAGTGCGGGTGACCTTCTAACCTTACAAGTTGACCTCTGTATGCTGATGGAGAAGGTGTTAATGAGAGCTGGTGTGACAGATGGGACACATAGTGAATTGGATTGCTTCCTTTAGTGTGTGTGGTTAACCAGAAGCCCCTGCTTGTATGCATTTTATTATTGCACTTAATCGCTTTGTTTTATCTAAAAACCCTGCACTTTCTTAATAACTGTGCTTTGCAGCATTGCAACATTGATTTTGCACAGTGCAAAGCCAAAGCACGAGCCAGCATGTGAAATGAAATGCCTCAGCAAGAACAAAGACAATGCAACTCTCTCCAGAGGGCTTCAACAACAAGTCGAGCTTGTGTGTTGCTCACCACAGTCACCAGCTCAGCTGCAACAGCCAATGCAATCCGATGCAACTCATCCATCCATCTGCACGTGCACACACTCGTCACTTTTTGAGATTCCCCTCACAGTTGCTTTAAATACTCACTTCCATCCGTGCATCAGTGAGAGGTGAGTGTTTTGCAAATGGTTTCTAAAATCTTTTTAGGAGTTAATACTGTCGTATTAGCTGAGAAGTCTGCACGCGCTCGTCTGAGAGTATCCATTGGGATTGCGCATTGCATAGATAGCAAGCAAGCCGGCTAACAAATGCAGTTTACATTTGTTGGTTTTTACTTTTGTGCTCCAAATTAGTTACGTATTCGTCTTCTGTGTTTAATTTACTATAGTAATCGTGTATATAATGACATTTGCCGATAGATAAAGTGACTATAATGTGAGCTAGCGGAGTTTAAAGATGTTAGCCGGGTTGCTAACATTAGTTTTAATCTATAATAACAGTTTTTGTCTATTTCAGTCAAAGAAACATCAGAATCTCTCGGTTATGTGCTAAATTAAAGGGGGAAAGATAAGAAAGTGGGTGTGTACAGTTGGTGCATGTTATTGTTTTGACAGGATTCTTTGCCCAGATTGAGCAGTGCGTGTGCGTGTGTGTGTGTGTGTGAAACTTTCTTTTTGAATAATGTTGACTTATTTGTTTTCATTTATACGAAATCATCGCCATCATGTTTAATGTATCCACCAAGTACAAAAGCATGAGCTGATATATATATATATATATAGACTATATATGACAAAGTGTGTTTGTTTAAAGGAACCGCTCGCCAAAAAAATTTAATTATGTAACGGTTCACTCACGCTGATTTTGTTCCAAACCCTATTGTTTTCCATCTTTCATGAAAAACAAAAGCAGTTGTTAGGAAAAATGTGAGGGGCTAACAACCAGTCTCTATTCACCTTCACTGCATCGTTTCTCATCCAATGAAAGTGAACGAGACTGTGAATCTTAGGTTTAAAAAGGACAATGAGCATCATAAAAGTTGCTTATATAACTAATTTGGTGTGTTTTAAGTCATATGAGAGATTTCTGTGAGAAACAGACCTAAATTTAAGTCAAAATTGACTGAATTCTCGATTGACTGACATGGTCACCATTCACTTTCATTGGATGAAAAAGAGCTGTCTGGTCATTCTGCTAAATAACTACTTTTGTGGGGGATTGAAAGTCATACGGATTTGGAACAACATGAGGTTGAGTAAATTATTTTTGTGTTATCACTGTAAAATGTATTTTCCAGTGGGGCTGGTCTAGAGGTGGAGGCTTAAAGTAATCCACAGCTACCTTTCTTTTACATTTCTTGCTTTTTTAAATACGTCATAGCTGTGCTTTTGCTTTCCAGATTGCGAGCAAATAGGCGTTGGATGTTCTAAAGCATCGATGCATTGGGGAAACTGAGGTGAGCTGTTGCACAATATCATATTTGCCATTTATTGACACTCTGTGAGTAATAAGTAACTCATTGGTTAGGTGTTTCAGGATTTATGGATGGTGTTCCATGGAAGAACTATAGGATAAATTCCTTTTTGACTTTTAATGTTTATTTTGATCTGTTTCATTCTTGTCTTGGTCGTAGACCCATGGCAAAGTGGTTTAGAGATCACCTAAGTTTTGGCAGCAGGAAAGGACCTCCGCAGCCCCCGACACCGGACTACACCGAAAGCGAGATCCTACGGGCCTACAGGGCTCAGAAAGAGCTGGACTTTGAGGACCCGTACGAACCCTCGGAGAACCGGGTGCTGAACGGCTCAGGGTCGGTGGAAACATTCCCCGCGTTTGGCGCGGTGCTGTCCAACGGCGTGGAGGTGAAGATCGTGTCTCCCAAACACAGACTGATAAAAGTGGAATCTCAGGAATTCGGGCGTAGCAAAATACCACTGAACATCGTGACCTTTGAGGAACCGCAGGCCCCTGTAAGTTCTTGTTTTCTTAACACATAGAGAGCTTAAATGGCTCTTACTGGACTGTTATCAGTAAAAATGATGTGCTTTGAAAGATCTCCTGTGTGGATATATGGGAAAAATGACTGGGATTGGCCAAGAACCAATCACTGAAAGTGTAAAAGCATAGTTTAGTGGTGTACTTTAGTGTGCTCATCTTGATGATTTCAAGCCTTTTTCCTCTTCTTATGTGTACTTGAATGTCATAACAATGACACATGTTTCTTTATGTGGAATTATTTTACGAGAACATTACTTGTATGGTTGTTTGTCTTGGCGTAAAGACCCTCCAGTTAATTTCTTCCATCATGAATAGATCAATATATCACAAATGAGGTGGTTATGAGAGTTGCAGTGGATGTTTTACTAGGATTACATTGATGTCTGATTGTTTTGAGTAGATTTGTTCGATGCACATGTCATGGATGAGTTTTGCAGATGTCATAACAAACCAAACAGACGCACAATTTGCTCGTGTTTTCTTCGCTCGGCCGGTAATAATTGTATTTTGTCATCAGAGGTGAACGGTGTGAGTGTTGGGAATCAATTTCATTAACCCAAATACAAGTAATCCCAATGCCTGCGGCTTTTATAGACCCACACACCAACCCTCTCTCTCTCTCTCTCACTCGTTTTGGTTTTTAAATGGATTGTGTGTCTAAAAATGAAAATGTTATGTCACTCCAAATTTTGTTTCTAATAATCAATTAGTAATTGTTATAATTAATAATAATAATTCTTCAGTGAAACGAAAAAGTGATGCGCTTTTCTGTGCAATGTAAGCATAATGTAATCAGTGTCTGACCATTTTCAGTCTGGACAAAAAAAAGTCCATTTGACTTAATTTTAGTATTATTTATGTACTATTATAGTATATACTTTCTAGTGTCTGCTTTCAAAAGAGAGCACAATTATGTTTGTAGACCAAATGGTTCAAGAGCTGCAGCCTTTACATTTTGGTTTGTGGTTAAAATTATGTAACGGTTCACTCACGCTGATTTTGTTCCAAACCCTATTGTTTTCCATCTTTCATGAAAAACAAAAGCAGTTGTTAGGAAAAATGTGAGGGGCTAACAACCAGTCTCTATTCACCTTCACTGCATCGTTTCTCATCCAATGAAAGTGAACGAGACTGTGAATCTTAGGTTTAAAAAGGACAATGAGCATCATAAAAGTTGCTTATATAACTAATTTGGTGTGTTTTAAGTCATGTGAGAGATTTCTGTGAGAAACAGACCTAAATTTAAGTCAAAATTTACTGAATTCTCGATTGACTGACATGGTCACCATTCACTTTCATTGGATGAAAAAGAGCTGTCTGGTCATTCTGCTAAATAACTACTTTTGTGGGGGATTGAAAGTCATACGGATTTGGAACAACATGAGGTTGAGTAAATTATTTTTGTGTTATCACTGTAAAATGTCTTTTCCAGTGGGGCTGGTCTAGAGGTGGAGGCTTAAAGTAATCCACAGCTACCTTTCTTTTACATTTCTTGCTTTTTTAAATACGTCATAGCTGTGCTTTTGCTTTCCAGATTGCGAGCAAATAGGCGTTGGATGTTCTAAAGCATCGATGCATTGGGGAAACTGAGGTGAGCTGTTGCACAATATCATATTTGCCATTTATTGACACTCTGTGAGTAATAAGTAACTCATTGGTTAGGTGTTTCAGGATTTATGGATGGTGTTCCATGGAAGAACTATAGGATAAATTCCTTTTTGACTTTTAATGTTTATTTTGATCTGTTTCATTCTTGTCTTGGTCGTAGACCCATGGCAAAGTGGTTTAGAGATCACCTAAGTTTTGGCAGCAGGAAAGGACCTCCGCAGCCCCCGACACCGGACTACACCGAAAGCGAGATCCTACGGGCCTACAGGGCTCAGAAAGAGCTGGACTTTGAGGACCCGTACGAACCCTCGGAGAACCGGGTGCTGAACGGCTCAGGGTCGGTGGAAACATTCCCCGCGTTTGGCGCGGTGCTGTCCAACGGCGTGGAGGTGAAGATCGTGTCTCCCAAACACAGACTGATAAAAGTGGAATCTCAGGAATTCGGGCGTAGCAAAATACCACTGAACATCGTGACCTTTGAGGAACCGCAGGCCCCTGTAAGTTCTTGTTTTCTTAACACATAGAGAGCTTAAATGGCTCTTACTGGACTGTTATCAGTAAAAATGATGTGCTTTGAAAGATCTCCTGTGTGGATATATGGGAAAAATGACTGGGATTGGCCAAGAACCAATCCCTGAAAGTGTAAAAGCATAGTTTAGTGGTGTACTTTAGTGTGCTCATCTTGATGATTTTAAGCCTTTTTCCTCTTCTTATGTGTACTTGAATGTCATAACAATGACACATGTTTCTTTATGTGGAATTATTTTACGAGAACATTACTTGTATGGTTGTTTGTCTTGGCGTAAAGACCCTCCAGTTAATTTCTTCCATCATGAATAGATCAATATATCACAAATGAGGTGGTTATGAGAGTTGCAGTGGATGTTTTACTAGGATTACATTGATGTCTGATTGTTTTGAGTAGATTTGTTCGATGCACATGTCATGGATGAGTTTTGCAGATGTCATAACAAACCAAACAGACGCACAATTTGCTCGTGTTTTCTTCGCTCGGCCGGTAATAATTGTATTTTGTCATCAGAGGTGAACGGTGTGAGTGTTGGGAATCAATTTCATTAACCCAAATACAAGTAATCCCAATGCCTGCGGCTTTTATAGACCCACACACCAACCCTCTCTCTCTCTCTCTCACTCGTTTTGGTTTTTAAATGGATTGTGTGTCTAAAAATGAAAATGTTATGTCACTCCAAATTTTGTTTCTAATAATCAATTAGTAATTGTTATAATTAATAATAATAATTCTTCAGTGAAACGAAAAAGTGATGCGCTTTTCTGTGCAATGTAAGCATAATGTAATCAGTGTCTGACCATTTTCAGTCTGGACAAAAAAAAGTCCATTTGACTTAATTTTAGTATTATTTATGTACTATTATAGTATATACTTTCTAGTGTCTGCTTTCAAAAGAGAGCACAATTATGTTTGTAGACCAAATGGTTCAAGAGCTGCAGCCTTTACATTTTGGTTTGTGGTTAAGGGATTTCAAAAAACAGATTTTATTTTTTAATTAAATTGAACATTTGTATTTGAATTTTTTGAATTTTAAATTTTTTTCAAGTTTTACTGATTTAGTATTAATTTTTGTAATGTTAATAAATGTTTGTCATCAGAGGTGAACGGTGTGAGTGTTGGGAATCAATTTCATTAACCCAAATACAAGTAATCCCAATGCCTGCGGCTTTTATAGACCCACACACCAACCCTCTCTCTCTCTCTCTCACTCGTTTTGGTTTTTAAATGGATTGTGTGTCTAAAAATGAAAATGTTATGTCACTCCAAATTTTGTTTCTAATAATCAATTAGTAATTGTTATAATTAATAATAATAATTCTTCAGTGAAACGAAAAAGTGATGCGCTTTTCTGTGCAATGTAAGCATAATGTAATCAGTGTCTGACCATTTTCAGTCTGGACAAAAAAAAGTCCATTTGACTTAATTTTAGTATTATTTATGTACTATTATAGTATATACTTTCTAGTGTCTGCTTTCAAAAGAGAGCACAATTATGTTTGTAGACCAAATGGTTCAAGAGCTGCAGCCTTTACATTTTGGTTTGTGGTTAAGGGATTTCAAAAAACAGATTTTATTTTTTAATTAAATTGAACATTTGTATTAGAATTTTTTGAATTTTAAATTTTTTTCAAGTTTTACTGATTTAGTATTAATTTTTGTAATGTTAATAAATGTTTTAGTAATTTTGGTGTGTAATAATAGGTACTGTTTTTTTTTTGGTTTTTTTTAATATGTAGTTAGTTAATGTAGTGTTAATTTAAATTTCAGTTTTAGTTCATTTTAGTACATCAAGTTAAACAAAATGAAAATGAGAAGTACCAGTACAAAGTTGTTTTTTTTACTAGTTAACCATAATAACCGTAGTGGATGAAAATGCTTCATGTGTGTTTACATGAGCTAGCAGAACCGCGTACTGTGTAAAACTCTGCAGTTATCTTCGTTTCGGATTCATATGATCATCATGATCACTCAACACTTGTTCTTTATTCTTTTCACCAGGTGGTTCCTTCGGCTCCTGCAGTTGGGGAGACTGATTACTCGGACCCGTTTGACGCCAGACCGGACCCGCGGCCCAGACCTGGCTGGGAGCAGAACGCCGTCGAAGCCTGCAGCAGTTACATGGAGCCGTTTGAGGCCCAGAGATTCATAAGCGGTACAGCATTCCCCCACTATATCTCTTATAATTCCAAAGAGAGCATTCATTCAGCCATTGTTATTCCAGTATGTTGTAATTTGTGGTCTGCGGTAACGTTTACATGTTTTTCAGAGCTTGACAACTCCAGTCCTTATTCACTTTCATAATACTCATACATAATGTAATTTCGTGTTGTCTGGTGCAATTGAACGTGTCTGTCGTATGTCAGAGCTCCAGCACAGCACAGATCAGGGTAGAAACAGTCCGCAGCTCTACGACAGCCCTTACGAAGAGAGAGTTCGGCCCCAGGCGGCCCCAGCGGAGGACGAGAGAGAGAGCCGTCTGCCCCAGGACGACGAGAGGCCGGCGGATGAGTACGACCAGCCCTGGGAGTGGAAGAAAGAGAACATCTCCAAAGCCTTCGCAGGTAAGACATGTTGCTGGCTAGAGATGGGCTCCGTTCCACAGCAGCACGTTTTCATCCTCTTTTGAAAATGACGTTGACTGCATTACAAGCAGGGTACAAAATGAACAGTCAGCAAATGTGAGTATATTAAAACAGTGTTATTTGACGGGTGGCTGGTGTTTTAAAGCAGCTTCCTTTGGTTTTCTGCCAAAGTAAAAGCTCTGAGGTTTAGCACTTGAAAGCAAAGAAATTTAGACAGCCATAAATATCAAATTTACAGTTATTTATTATTTTACATATACTGTGTAGTATTATTATTATTATTATATATCAATCATTTACTCTATAGTATTATAGCAATAGTAATATACTTCTTACTATCAATAACAATACATTGATTCGTAGGTTTGGACAGCTTTTTTCCCTTAATAAATGAAATCATCATTTAAAAACTGCATTTTGTATTTACTTGCATTATTTTTGTGTAATATTTAAATTTGTTTGATGATCTGAAACATTAAAGTGTGACAAACATGCAAAAAAATAAGAAATCAGGAAGGGGGCCAACACTTTTTCACACCACTGTATGTATTTTAATATGAATTATTATAATAATAATAACAAATGGAATATATTAAATAATAAACTAATAGTAGTAGTAGTAATATTTCTTTATTGACTTTTGTAGTTTATAATAATAAATATTATTAACTATACTATATAACTATATTTTTATAATTGTAATATTCTAATTAATAAATTATTATATTTATTAATATGAATATTTATTAATAAATAAATATAAATGATAATATTTTAAATCATTCAGGCCTAAGTAACTGCCTGCTTTTTAAATAATAATGCAAATACTGTTTTGTGGCAGAATAAAAGTATAATAATGTTATTATGAAAATATAATATAATGTTTTATGGCCAGTACGTTTTCTCAAGTCAGTTCAAGTTAGTTTTGAACCCTGACTTCTGTTTGATGCATCAACAGTTTAATTCTTAAGCACAGTAGTTGTCAGTCGCAGCTCTAAACATTGGATTTGTCTGCTTTCAATAAAATGATCTGTAGGTGCAGTAGGAAGATGTCTGTGATTCTGTTGTGAGGAGAGGGATGTGTGGAGGGTCTTGATGGAGACAGGAGTAGAGCAGTCATGCAGAAACATCAGATCCACTGTGTGACTTCTGCTCTGCATCACATTCCACACACACACACACACTCAGATCATCTCTCCCTCTGTGACTCAAATGTCACGCACTCTTCATCACATGGTCATTTCACCACTTCTGATCAGATTGCCGGTTGCTCGTGGATTTTTCACGCTCTGTCAGATGCATATTCCTCACAAAGAAAGAGCTTCTTTACCAAGACAGCAGGAACAGTGATGCTGGGAGAGAGTAACTAGTGTTGTTTGCTAAAGCATGAAACACTACTTTATTGCTTATACTGAGGGATAGTGATTTAAACAAACCCTTAATCGTAAATGTATAATGTTAATGCCTTTTCTAAATAAAATAAAAATAAAAAACTGTACCAAAATAGAATTTTAAAGGGGTCATATGATGCTTTTTTAAAGATCATTATTTGATGTAACATAATATGTTGACATGCTTTAATGTTCAAAAAGCACATTATTTTTCAAATACTGTACATTATTGTAGGTCCTCTATGCCCCGCCTCTCTCAAACGCTTCGTTTTCTACAAAGTCCCTCCTTCCGACAAGCGCAGTCTGCTCTGATTGGCCAGCTGACCCAGTGCATTGTGATTGGCCGAACACCGCAAGCACTAGTCGGAAATGTAACGCCCCTTTCCATAATCGTGAGCTTCATCTTTCAAAATAAATGTAAAGACAGAGCTCGAAAGGGGAACAGAGTCGCGTGACAGACACAGTGATGAAGCTGGTATGTGTTTGCAGTACACAAGCCACGGTTAAGACAGCTGACTCCACTGTGATGTGACGCTGTCTCTCTCTCTCTCTCTCACACAATTTCAATTTAAGAGTGCTTTATTGGCATGACAAAAATTATACATTTGTATTGTCAAAGCAAATGCAGATGGACTGCTTACAAGTAGTACACCTATATTAACAGAAAGAAAAAGAATAATAGTAATAATATATAGATAGTATTAAGCATGTAGTGCAAAATGAATGTAAGTATATAAACTAGGTTTGGATTTGTCAGTGGACCCCACACCTCACTGCCATAGAGGGCAATGGGCTCAATTACTGATTCTAATATTTTCAGCCAAATTCTAATAAGGATTTCTATAGGACATTGCCGTTTTATGGCATAGAAGGCCCTGCGTGCTTTATCTCTCAGTTCATTCACAGCATGATTAAAGTTTCCCGTGCATGTGATTTTCAAACCCAGGTAGTTATTGTGTGATGTGTGTGTTATCTGCTTAGTGCCTAATGTAAATGTGTGTGGTGTTCCCTGGGATCTGGATCTTTTCTGAAATATCATAATTTTGGTTTTCTTCAGGTTGACTGTCAGATCCCAGGTCTCTCTCTCTCTCTCTCTCTCTCTCTCACGCGCACACACACGATGCGCAAAACTCTGCATTTGAACAGTCAATAGCAAATACTTCAACTAATAACAAAACAGTAGCTGATTCAGAAGTGCCAGATTGTCATAGCAAAGTCAGAATTACCTCCTCTCCTAGGTTCACGAAACGGTCGTCCATAAAATGCATTGCTGTTCTGTTGTAAGTAATCTTAAAGATTCCTAAGTGCATCTACTTTCGGAAGGCCAAATAAAGTGCTTTTGCTTTCGCCTAGAAACACACAGCGTCTCCCTGACATGCTGCTTCAACACTAACTGCGGTTACTGAAACCACACCGTCTTTCTTTGCGTGCACATTTGGGTGGCATTATGCAAATATTTCCACATAGTGAGGTAGATATGTGGGGGCGTGTTAGAACGAGCCGTTTTATGGGGGCGTGGCAGAGTCTTAACTTTGATAAAGAATATCTTTTGGGTTTTGAGACTTTAGTCTTTGCAACTTCAGGGATCTTATCTATGCACAATCAGCTTGTAACACTCCAAAGAGAAAGGAAAACTTGAAATTGCATCATATGACCCCTTTAATGTATACTGCATAATTTAATACATCTATAATTTTATGCGGGGGAAAACATAAACTAAAGCAATTAAATCTCATTTAATTATTAATAAAAATATATAATTTTACTTATACAAATGTATAATATTTGAAATATCAATGAAATATATAAAAATTTAATTAGATAAAATTTGTTAATGTATACTATTAACTCTTTTTGGTTGCATTTTAAAAGTTTATAATTGTTTTGTAGTAACCTTTGCAGCAATAATGCATTTCTTTAATTTGTATAAGTTTATAATAAGTAAATCATATTTTAAATAATAATTAAAGTAATTGAATAATAAATATTCATTGTTAGTAGTAGTAAATACTCAGTTTATTTATTTTGAATGTACATACATATTTTTTAACCTGCTCTTTTTGCTTGCACTTTAAAAAGTTTGTTTATAATTGTTTTTTTAAGTAACGTTTTTTTTAACTCTTAAGTTTAGGGACCAGTTCTCCCTATTAACTAGTTGCTTATTAGCATGCATATTACTAGCATATTGGCTGTTTATTAGTACTTATAAAGCACATTCTAATACCTTATTTTGACCGTATTCTAGATCCTGTAATCCTACCCCATACCTAAACTTAGCAAATTAGGGGTTTATTGAGGCAAAAGTCGGGGTTGAAAGTTAGTTAATAGTGAGAACTTGTCCCCAAACTAAAGTGTGACCCTTTTTTGAATGTTTTGTAGTAACTTTTGAAGCCAGAGACTGGGAACAATGTACACTGCCCCGTGACGAGGCACCGAGGAAGGCAGGAGCGTCCAGAATCAGCCCTCCATCCAGCAGAGCCACCAGCCTGCACAAGCCCAGCAACACACATGGCATCCTGGGAGAGAGGGTGGATCCCACACTGCCCCTGGAGAAACAGGTGTATGTATTTACACATGAACAGCTTGAGCTGTGCTGCTAAAATTTCAAACACTATCATTATTTTTCCACAACTCTGCATCATATTTGCTGAGTGAAACCCAATACTTAAAGGGATAGTTCATCCAAAAATGAAAATTACCCCATGATTTACTCACCCTCAAGCCATCCTAGGTGTATATGACTTTCTTCTTTCAGATGAATACAATCGGAGTTATATCTAAAAAAAATGCCCTGGCTCTTCCAAGCTTTATAATGGCAGTGAATGGGGGTTGAGATTTTGAAGCCCAAAAAAGGGCATCCATCCATCATAAAAAGTGCTCCACACGGCTCCAGGGGCTTAATAAAGGCCTTCTGACGGGAAACGATGTGTTTGTGTAAGAAAAATATCCATATTTAAAACTTTATATTTTTTTCACCTTTAAAACATCCAAACAGCCACAGAAAATGACTGTTTTTGTGAACAAAAGCTTATTTATACATTTATGTAAATTACTTTGACATTAAATGGAGTATTTGAACATTTGTTTCCCATCCTTTGGTGATTGTAAGTTAAAAATAAGTTTTGAACGCTGAAAGATTGGTTCTGTGAAAACCCTAATAGTGGCCCATCTGTGTGTGTGTGTGTGTTTCAGATGGTACCATGGTGCATTGACTCGCTCAGAAGCCGAATCTCTGCTCACGCTGTGTAAGGAGTGCAGTTACCTGGTGAGGAAAAGCCAGACCAGCAGAAACGACTATTCGCTGTCTCTCAGGTACAGTCTTACAAACTCACTCTCTCAGGTACTCTTACAACCCAAAAACTCATTCAGTGCCATCATTTACAGTGCTCTGTGGAATGAGTAGCTTAGTCACTCCCTCACAAGTAGACCGTTTTGTCTTTTTCATTTGCATATCAATTTCTGCTGCAGTTCAGAGTTGTGTGGTCATGACTTACCTCAGGGCTTTTTGGTTTGGTTCAGTCCCCGAGGACAAAATTAAATCTTTCTAGAAACAAGGCCACTGATGACCTGGGCGTTCTATTAGTGTGCTGTAAATAAAACCACTAGCTACCATTTTCTGCTGTGTTGTGATTGTTTTCAGAGGTATAGTAATTGAAGTACTTGTCCCACATTCGCTTTTGTTTCATGAAACAGTCCAAGTCATTTAACTTTATAAATAGAGCAAATTGTTTCTGCTAATCTAGGTTCATGTTTCTCTTTCTGCATCTTCATGGGAAATGAACTTTAAATAAGCATTAAGGCCAGAGTCTTTAGTGATTCTCTGGACACTAAATATTTACATGATTATGCACTACTGTAACTACTCTAAATGTACATTTTTTTATGTTGTACTACAGCTGCTCTAAATGAAACATCTGATATTTATATTTTATTACAATTTTGACAATAAAATCCCATTAGTTTGCATTGAAGGAGGGACCAGAGTCATCTAGAAATCAAACTGTTATAGAGACTTGAGAGTGGTTTTAATTGGACTTGGCCAGTAAGCAACTAACTAGGAACCAGCCTGAACACCCTAGCAACCACATAGCAATGCCCTAGCAGCCAACTGGTGTGCAACCTCTTTTTATTTTTCTCTATCTAGATCTGCTCTCATTTATTAATAATGTTTTCTTTTCCCCTCATGCTACATGCTTATTCTACTGCTGGAGGGCAGTTACATCTAGCTATTCTAGCTCCGTGTAATATATTCAGGTTTGAGGTGTTTTGTGTGGGTCTAAATGCGTTTACCATGTTATTAATAATGCAGTGCCCCCCAAAAAGCATGGCTGCTTTTCAGTTTTATAGGGGTGAGCAATATGACCAAAATCTTACATCATGGTATTTTAATCACATACTGATAAAAAAAAAAAAAAAAAGTATAGCCTGAATGCGCACTGTAAGTCGCTTTGGATAAATGCATAAATAAATAAATAAATATATTTTAATCATAATTATTTCTTATTGTATAAATCACAATATATACTCATTTAATTTATAAACAATATAATTGTTTATATATTATGTATGTGAAATGATCCAATAAATTAAATATTTCACAAATGAAATGTGCTTTATCTCATTTAATTATTTTTCCTTTTTATTTTCCCTTTTTATTAATGTGGCGAGTTGCAACATCACTCAGAAACAATTAACTCTTAATAACTTTATCCTTGACTTGTTTAAGACACGGACAGTTTCTCTATTTTCACATATCTCATGTCTCCAGAAAAGTTTGTTAAGACCCAATATCTAAAAGGGCATTAAGATATCTTTAATACTTCTTGAGTTACAGGCATGCAAGCTTTGGAGAAAAAACTTGAAAAGTGCTGTTTCCTATTTTTGAATGGTCAAGATGAAGTTCTGATATCCTGTAATGAATATAAATGAAATCTTTATAACAGTATAACAGACTACTGACACAAAATGCATATAAATATCAGTTGTCTCTCTGTACCTCCCAATAATGTCTTATGACATTTATATGCTTAGTTTGATGATCAGTTTAAGACACATGAAATACGAGCTGAAGTTGGATGTTTGTACAATTATACTAAAAGGCCTTTTGTTTGCTAAAAAACTATCAATCAGACGACAGAATGCATGTAGCAGAGTGTGTACAAAAGCAAAATTTCGATTATGGTGGTCATTCAGAGGGCTTAGAAATGTGCATATCAAATATGAAACAGTAGGCTTTACAGGGTTAAACTTATTGAACCCATTTTCATGTAACATTTATTTATTTTAGCTTTATTTCATGATTTTTAATAGTTTTAGTTAACAGTAACCACACTGTTTTACCTAGTTATAATATACAGCAGCCTTACCTACTGTTGTATAACTCTCTACCGACTGACATATTTCTACTGTTCTAGGTCAGCCTTACAAAGCCATATGCAAACTCAAAGACTTTCTCTCTCCCCCCTCCGTCTCTCTGCAGGAGCTGTCACGGGTTCATGCACATGAAGTTCTCGCAGTCTCGGGATGGGAAGTTCATCCTGGGAGAGAACAGTCCTCCATTTGGCTCCATCCCTGAAGTCATTCATTACTACACCACGAACAAACTGCCCATCCGCGGAGCCGAACACCTGTCCCTGCTGTTCCCGGTGCTGGTGCAGACGCTCTGAGACCACACACACACACACTTACCATGCGCTCGCACACGTACACACTCAGGGCCTCACTCAGACGGCTACTATAGTGCTTCATTATCAAACACATATCGCAGGCTCTTTGAGAGTTTGATTTGAGTTTGGAGTGGGAATTTGATTTTTCAGGCGTGTGAATGAAAACACAGTCGGCCTGTACAGAAACTGTATTGATGTACTGCACACGTGTGAAGTATATTTTACACACCACAGAACTCTAAAGTGTCTTCGCATCACACTGGGAACTGTAATATTATTACTTTCTCTGCTCCAAACTCTTCAAATGATAGTTTTAACATTTGAAGATAAAATGTAGCCCGACCAAAGTATTTATAAAGATTTTGCTAAATACTAAAAAGCAATGATGTACAGTACAAATCCCATCCTCTGTAGGATTTCTTGCTTTAAAAAGTGATTCACCTGAAATGACAGTTGTCCTCATCTGCTCATTCTCATGTCATTCCGAACCTGTAAAACACAAAAGATCTTTTGAATGATGTTAATGAAAGTGGATGCTGATCATGGCTGTTATGCTCTAAAAAGGACAAAATCAGCATAAATGTAGTCCATATAAGTCTTCTAAAGCCACACAATAGATTTGTGTGAAGGAAAAAAAATGCAGTGTTGCAGCTCTCAAGTCTCATTTGTTTCCACAATTTAAATACATTTTTGTTTATAAAAAGTTGAAATTGGCATACAAAGTCATAATTATGAGGTAAAAACTCAAAAGTATGACAAAGTCAAACTGTTAAGATAAAAAGTAAATAAATAAAATAAAAAATCTGACAGTCAAAACTGACATTAATTAAAAGCTGAAATGACAGTAGAAATGTAGTTTTTTTTTTGTAGTTTTGTCAATTATGAATTATGAAAAATTTGTCAAATGTCATAATTTGCACACCTTACCTCATAAGTCCACTTTTATGTTTATAAAAAGTTGAAATTGGCATACAAAGTCATAATTATGAGGTAAAAACTCAAAAGTATGACAAAGTCAAACTGTTAAGATAAAAAGTAAATAAATAAAATAAAAAATCTGACAGTCAAAACTGACATTAATTAAAAGCTGAAATGACAGTAGAAATGTAGTTTTTTTTGTTGTAGTTTTGTCAATTATGAATTATGAAAAATTTGTCAAATGTCATAATTTGCACACCTTACCTCATAAGTCCACTTTTTATGTGAATTATTATTATTAAAGGGATAGTTCACCCAAAAATGAAAAGTTGATGTTTATCTGCTTACCCCCAGGGCATCCAAGATGTAGGTGACTTTGTTTCTTCAGTAGAACACAAATTATGATTTTTAACTCCAACCGTTGCAGTCTATCAGTCGTATAATGCATGACAATGGTAACAAAATCTATGAGAGTAAAAAAACATGCACAGACAAATCCAAATTAAACCCTGCGGCTCGTGACGACACATTGATGTCCTAAGACACGAAACGATCGGTTTGTGTGAGAAACCGAAGAGTATTTATATCATTTATTACCTCTAATACACCACTATGTCCAACTGACTTTGGGTGCGTGCACGGCATGAGGTGTGTACGCGCTCTGGCGTAGTTTACGCTAATGGGTGTGTTGATATCCAGCTATTTTAAGTCGGTTTGATCAATCCGGATAAGCGCAAGTAAGAACCATTTTGATTAGCCGTCATACCTACAATGTTTGTGCACTGTGTAAACAATGAGTGACGTATACGCACGAGAGATCACTTCCGGCGTGCCCTGGGGGTAAGCAGATAAACATCAAATTTAAATTTTTGGGTGAACTATCCCTTTAACACCTCATTTTAGCTGCCATATTTAAATGTTTCGCTATGTTGCAGCGCTTGATTCTCATTTGTGTTTCTGCATATTTAAAATACATATAACAACTCCAGTTTTGGTCTGTTTGTCACACAAAGCTATTATTTGACTTTAAAATATATCAAACGTCATAAGGACTACATTTGTGGTGCTTTTCAGACATACTAAAAAAAGTAGAAATTAAGAGCTAAAACCTTAATTATGATAATTCAGTTTTATAAAAAAAAAAATGTAACCTAATAACTGTTAATTTTGACTTATGTCATAGTTATGCATTTTTATGTCATTTATGATTTACATAATTTTTTTCTTATGTGGCAGAAATCGGCTTCCATGTTATTGTTTATATCTTTTTGTCCTTTTTCGAGCTTTATGGCGACGGTCACCATCCGCTTTCATTGTATTGTAAATTTAGTTCTGTTCTACTCGTTTCACGCTGGTTTGGAATGACATGCGCGTGAGTGAATAATGACTGAATTTTCATCTTGAGTGACTGTAGGCAAAAATGAGGGCTTCTCTTTAGGAACAGGAAGCCGGCCCCTTAACTTCCTTTTGTCACTAACTAGAAGCGATGAATCATGGTTTAGCGGTAAGGAAGTGAAAATACGACGCTGGAATGTTCCGAATGTGACTTTCACTTCTCCGGATGGCCATCTGCAAACACAAAGATTTGTTCTGCTCCCAGAATCTCGGGGTGCTGAGGATGACGAAAACAGGAAGTGATGTCCTCCGACCATCTAAAGCTGCACTTTCATTCGCTTCAGTGCTCTCCGGTCTTTTAGCATGATAGGAAGCGGTCATTACTGTGGCATTTGGCTTCAATTAAGGCAGCTGTCTCGATGCTACCCATCATTTCACTCTACCAGATACCGCTTAGTGCTGCTGGCTCGTTTCTGAGGATTTCTTAGCAATACTTAAAGCTCCATGAGAAACCTTACGTGAACCATCTCTTCTGAGTTAATCTGGGTTTATGTGATATTTGAAATAAGGTCACTTATAATCTAGGGGTGGAACGGTACTCAAGATGTCACGGTTCGGTACGTACCTCGGTTCGGGGGTCACGATTCGATACGATTTTGGTACAACAGGGAAAAAAAACAAATCTACTATGCTCGGTTTCTTTTCATTTATTTTGAACAGACAGCAGTACAAATTACAATTTTTTTTTTCCACCTAGATGTGAAAATACTAAATATTATTACATTGTTATATATATAAAATCTGCAGTACATATATACATACAAGGAATACATTCTTGAAATATATTTGATTGTTTACGGATAAACAAGGGAAAAAACAGTGCGACACGTAACGTAGCCTATATACACTGAGTTTCAGTTCATTTTTGTGACGCGCTTAATTTGTTCACAGAAAGGAAACTCAAATGGCAGAAAGCCACATCCTATTTGTTTTCTTTATTTTACAAAAGCACAATGTTTTGTTTTCACTGTGAGTGTACACAAAAGCAGACCTTTATACAGTGATGCATTATTAATAAGACAATATGTGTTTAAAGTTGATTATGCTGGTATAAGGAAACCGTTGGAAGTGATCGCGGCGGTGCGCGCGCACACACAAAACACATCATTTCCAGCATTGCTAACATGACAGCGCAGTTGGTACTTTATCAAAATAAAATACAGTGAACCAAACACGGTGAACGCGACTGAAGTACAAAGCCGATAATTTACATAAATAATAGTTTAGCATTCAGATATGTTACATCACAAATATGGAAATATTATGGAATATTTGGATTTGTGCCGAATGAGAGTGGTTGGATACCCGAGCACAAAGCTCCATTTCGCAAACAGTCGAGTGCACAAGCCTTTAAAGTATACTCCTTTGTCAGTCTGTGAGAGACGCATTCAGAATCAGTGTTGCCAGATTGGAAATGTCCAAGTATCGTACCAGAAGCTCAAAATTATCGTATTTGGAAGAAAATGATCGTACATGTGTCAAACGTACAGAATACAGCTATTTATCTAAACCAACAACTTTTTGACACGACCTGCAAATTACCACAATAGGTAAACTAGATAAATAACTCCACCTGTGAGCCTCTGTCATTGGAAGCCTGTGTGTTGCCAGATGTTGAGGGGGTTCTTGCCGTCATGGACCGCAAGATAGTGCTCATTGGCTTAAAAGCAGGGCACCCTCCTGAATCCTTAACACACTCTGAGGTGTGCACGAGCGCATTTATAGTGTCTGTAATGAGCCGATTTCGTGGATGAGTAGCCTATAGAAACCCAATGATTACAACTACCATCATTTGAAGGGTCACAAAATTCTGAAATTATCGTACATTTTGGGATTTTTTTTTAATTATTGATCGTACATCGTAACACCTGTGAGCCTCTGTCATTGGAAGCCTGTGTGTTGCCAGATGTTGAGGGGGTTCTTGCCGTCATGGACCGCAAGATAGTGCTCATTGGCTTAAAAGCAGGGCACCCTCCTGAATCCTTAACACACTCTGAGGTGTGCACGAGCGCATTTATAGTGTCTGTAATGAGCCGATTTCATGGATGAGTAGCCTATAGAAACCCAATGATTACAACTACCATCATTTGAAGGGTCACAAAATTCTGATTTTTTTTTTATTATTGATCGTACAAATACGATAATTATCGTACGTCTGGCAACACTGTTCAGAATCAGCACATGGTCACTGTCTAGTGGGCTTTATCAAACAGCGTTGCATTGCTGCGGGCACCCCCCTTCTGGATTGGGCGTGATTTGCCTGTATTCGTTGTAAGGCCTCATGCACCGAACCAAGATGTGCGTACCGTGACGGTTCGGTACGAATACATGTATCGGTCCACCCCTACTATAATCATAAATTGCATCCGTGTGTTTGTAAATGAAGATGAAACTCAAGCATTTTCCTCTTAAGAAACCCAATCTTCTGTTGTTTAGTGAATGTTATAGTAAAAAGCTTTCAAATGAACGTGGTTTTGGGATCGGTTTGCTTGCACGACCTCTGAACACACACTCACACACACACATACTACTGCGTTTAGACTTCTACACAAGGTTTCTATTGCTTTAGAGATCCACACGGTAGCTATTGTTTATGGGGACTAATTTTAGTGTGGTTTTGTTTTTTCTATATGCTGTTTTCAAGCTTCTCTTTGGAATAAATTAGGAGTTGTTTTCTAAAATATAAAATGTGTGTGTGGTGAATTGTCATCTGTATGGTTGGATCCTGACTGGATGTGACGTTACTGGGCTAAAGGCTGATCCGTGTCTCTCAGCAGAAAAAATGGTTCCTCCTCATAAAGCATTCATGCAACACACTGTAAAAAAAAATAGGTCAGACCTCCTCCATGTGACCGAGCTCCTCCATGTGACCGAGCTCTGAGCGCTAATGCTTCTGGGTATGTGTGCGTGTGTGTTACTGGGAATCAGACTCAACACAGCTGATATATGCTGTCAAGACAAAGTCCCATCTGAAACGTCTCGCATATCACACTGTCGCAGATGAGAACAAGCAGCTGTGTGACTTTGCTCCCATTTTTTGTTTGTGCCTTTTTCTAAACCAACAATTACTGGTGTTTGCTTCAAAACACAAGCCTAAGGCCTGAAACCTTCTCTTACGTATGCAAATGTTTGGCCAGGATCTTGAGGGTCTGTTGTGTATATTTGATATGTGTTCTTGTGTTACTGTGGCAGTAACGAATCTCCAGTTCTCAAAAGGGGTGATAGTTACCTTCAAATGTCTGTGCATGCAACCCAGCTTATTGGAGAATCATAATTATGAGATACTAAATCAAAATTTTTAAGAGAAATAAAAATGGATAAAAAAGTCATAATTATGACG